AAAAAAAAAAAAATAGAGAAAAGAACAAAAGAAATAACCCAATTGTCTCATCAACAGATGAATGGCTAAATAAAATGTACAGCAGTCATTGTCTGTGGTTTTCACTGTTCACAGACTTTGTTAACTGAGATCAATTACAGTTCAAAAATATTAAATAGAAAATTCCAGAAATATTTCATTAGTTTTAAATTAGTCCCTGCTGTTGAAGAGGTTGAGATGGGAGAACTATTTAAGCTCAGGAGTTAGAGGCTACAGTTGGCAACATAGTGCAACCTTGCCTCAAAGAAAAAAATATTGTATGATTCCACTTACATGAAATATCTAAAATAGGCAAATTGAAAAAGCCAACGAACTGCCCTTTCATCAGTTTCATACATGGGAATGACTCTATGGATGTGGTTTAAAAATAGTAACAGGTCTATTCCAGAGTTTTTCACACTTTAGTATGCAAATGAATCACCAAAGGATCATTATTTCTTGAATTATGTTACCATATGATTTGGGGGACTAAATAATGGCTCCTTAAAGATGTTTACAATATAATCTGCAGAATACATTCCAAAGAGACTTTGTAGACAAGATTAAATTAAGGATCTTGAGATGGGGAGAATATCCTGGAGTATCTTGGGCAGGCTCTAAATGTAATCACATGTGTCTTAGTAATAGGGAGGCCCATGCAATCAGACTGAGGAAAAGGTCATGTGAAAGTACAAGCAGAGTTAAGTGAGGAAAATTCTACACTGATGACTTTGAAGGTAGGGCTATGAGCCAAGGAATTCAGTAAGCCTGAAAAAGCTAGAAAGGCAAAAAATTGGATTTTTCTCTTAGACCCTCTGAAGCATGCAGGCCTGCTAACACTTTGATTTTAGACTAGTGAACTGATTTTAACAAATTTGTGTTCTTTTATGCTGCTAAATCTGTGGTTATTTTTTGAGACAGGGTCTCGCTGTGTTGCCCAGGCTGGTCTTCGAACTCACTGGCCTCAAGTGATCCCCCTCCCACACAGTGTTAGGATTACGTGTGTGAGCCAGCACACCCCACCTGTGGTAATTTATTATAGCAACAACAAAACACTAATACAAAACAAATTCAATGTCTTTAAAATGGAACTTATATGCTTATTAAAAGCATTGTTTAATAACTGTTAAAACAACTAAATCTCAGAAATTTTATAATTATGTACAACCATTAAAAACTGTTGGGGGGCC